GACAAAAGGATAGAGTCAAAAAATGACAAAGTTGTTCGCTTTAGCAGCAATGACGCTGGTCCTCATAGTAAGCGTCTTTGCGTTTGTGAAACCGGTAGCATCGTCGTCGTGATATCGTTTCGATCATTTTGGCCCACCTTCTCCGATGTCTCACCAGGAGGTGCAATTGCCACGGAATATGAGGTTGGCTCGGTTTTCGGTGGCGAAGCACAATGAAGTGCTCTCGGGTGCTCAACGGTTGAAGTTGGTAAGTGTAGAAAAGGGTGCTTATTACCATGTATCACCCGATGGAGACTATATAAGTTTGGATATAATTGCATCCAACAGCTTCGGCCAAGCCAAGTATAGGGCCTTTGTGATTGAGTTCATTGCCTATGATGAACTTTCCCTTCAATGCTTTGAGAAAATTTATTAAAGATGGATGTTATTTAAAAGCTTTTAATTTGTAATGCAAAGTCAGTTGCACTCTGTGAGCAACGTCGTGGCCGCAATAAACATTTTTATCTTTGGTTTAATTAATGCCAACAATAATTAAAATAATGTGGCCTAAGTTCAGGTCCTTAAGGCCTCTTTTTTAAGGAGGAACTTAAAGCCTTGTGATTGGCTAACTCAAATTTAGGTAGTTAGTAGAGAGTTATTAGTTAAATAGTTGTTAGGGATATTAAGGAGACTACAATTAAATTAAAACAGGCTGTCTCTTTTTTTCAAAAACCCTAACCCGCCCACGTCTCTCTTTATTTTCGTCTGCTCATTATTCCTCACGCAAGCAGGCAGGCGGAACGTCAAGTCACAAGTTCCTCCGGCCGTCGTCCCTAGTTCTCCATCCGTCGTCCGTCTGTCTTCCCTTCTCCGTCTGGTTGTCGCCTAAGGTCGATGTTGCAGCTAAAGGGGAGTCCATGAAGATCGTCAGTTTTTGGCCGCTGTTGCTTGTCGTTTCTGATTCTTCCGTCGCCGTCGCTTGCCATCATGCCATGTCGTTTTCCGGTCGATGTCTTCGTCAAGCAAGGTCATCAAAGAAGCTTATCATCATCATCACTGAAGGGCAGTCTAGAGAGTTTGGTCGTCTGTGTTTTGGACCCCTTGAGGAAGATGGACGTGTTCTTAGTTATCAATTTGTTTTATTACGATTATTAACGTTTTTGTTACCCGTTCATAATCTTTTATTGTTAAGTTAGTAACGTTTTATATGTCAGTTTGTAATGTTTTTGTTATCACTATTAACATTTTATTGTTAAATTAGTAACATTTTTGTTATCAATATTGACGTTTTAGGTACCGACTCGTAACATCAATTGTTAATGGTTTGATGGTGGATTTGTGTGGGATGTAAACGTACATTGAAATACTAATGGTTTTTAGACCAATTGCTAACGATTTAACTTATCGTTATCAATGTTTATACAACGTGGCAGATGTTTTCAACGTTTATGCAAAAGGTATACAAAATCATTAATATTGACAAGTAATAAAAATTATTAATAATTTTTGGACAATTGTCAACAATGTGCTCAAACATTATCAACTTTTATGCGAGGTATTGTTAAAAGTTTATTCGTTTTATTATTAATGAAATACAACGTAAATAATATAACTTTAAAAATTATCAATAATAAAAGTATTAACTTTTTTCGGAGAATTGTTTACAATGCAACATAACGTTATCAACTATTTATTCGGATAATGAACACTATACAATCATTATTATTAATGATATGCACAAACATTGCTAGCATTTCATAAATAAAATTGTGAACTTACTTAAAAATAATAATTACTAACTTAGAACCACAATATATACGCTTAAGAAAAAAGTGTATTGTATTGATAATGCTAGTAAAATTCTTGATTCTAAACTCGGAACTAAATATTTAAAGTATACTTATGCTATTCATAAAGTGAAAAAAACTATTAATAATAAATAACATAAACATTAATATTTTTATGCATTGTCGTTAATAATGTTAAAAGAAGGAGGGATCACATCTCTGTTCCTCCTGAAAGTGTCTATACAGGAATGAGGCCACCCCATACTCCATTGTCTTCGCCCTCTCTGTTCTAATGCAATTCTTCAAGTCCTCTCGAAGGAATCCAACATTATCAATATTAAAATCACGAATGTCCATGACTGGTATAGCACTAGCATCATTCGTATGAACATCATCCACCACTCCTGCAACATTGAACACATCACGTCACTAGCACGAGTTTTATCAATCCACATATATACAAGATTCGTCAACTAACCTTCACCTTCTACATATAGATTTTCTACTGTAATCTCGTCTTCGCTTAAGTCATTGTTATTGGAAATATCTTCACCTTCCAAGCTGACATCACAAGGTACTTCATTCAGATATGCAACGTTGAAAAATTAACAAAACTATTACCTTTAATTATTAACAACTACCCACTTCATTATTAATCTTCCCTTCTCCGATTATTAACCTAAACCCTTTAACTTTTAACAATTAACGATGAATTATTAAACAATCCTCTCGGATTAATTATTAACAACCATCAACATCATTACTAATCTTCCCTTCCTGGATTATTAACCTAAATCAACAATGAAATTTTTCATGCAAAGTTTACTATTAACCTAAACACTTTAATTATTAATAACAACCACATGAATTATTAATCATCCCTCTCCGAGTAATGACTTTTACTTATTAACACATTGAATTATTAACCATGTCCTTTTTAATTAATAATTTAAAACAACTAACAATTTACGTGCAAAGTGGATTATTAATTTAAACATTTCAATTATTAACAACAAACACAAGTATTATTAATCAACGGTTAGTAACCTAAAACGACATTGAAGGATTACATACAAAGTTTATTATCAATTTAAACACCACAAATATTAACAACTAAAGAATGCATTATTAATTTATGTCCAAAATGGTTTATTAATTTAAACACGGTAACTATTAACAACAAACACAAACATTATTAATAAACAAATCCGTCCTTATTAATCGTGTATTCTTTAGCTAATAACCTAAAACGACATTGCAGGATTACAGACAAAGTTTATTACTAATTTAAACACCTCAATTATTAACAACCAACGAAGGTATTATTAATTATCCCCCACCAAGTTATTAACTTAAATTGTTAACAACTCTGGCCTGTTTTATTAAACAACGCAACCAAATTTACGTTAGCAAAACGAAGTCCAAAAAACTTACCAAACATAAAGGGTCTTGGCGATTCCATGGAACCGGTAGTCTACGAACGCGGCGAACGGCAAACGAGAAGGACAGACGATGACAGCCGAGACGTTACCGGCCTAAGATGCGAGTCGACGACGACGAAGGAGAAAACGAGACGACGACGCCGGAAAGCAAGCGCCGGTAGTCTACGAACGCGGCGAAAGGCAGACGAGAAGGAGAGACGACGACAGCCGAGACGTCACCGGCCTTAGATGCGAGTCGACGACGACAAACGAGACGACGACCCCGGAAAGCAAGCGCCGGAAAGCAAACGGCCGGCCGGCTGCGCGGCCCCGACGGTGGTTTTTGAAGGATGAATGGTTTAGGGTTGGGAGGAGAATGATTATGGAAACCCCAATTAATTCGTTTTCTGCGTGCTTTCTCGCATTCGGATTTTAATTAATAATATCATTTAATTATTTTCTATATTCCTGTCTTACCCTTTAACGTATTAGGTAGGTAGTTAACCAATCATTACTAATCACTCTCTCTCTCCTTCTCCTATTGGCTGAAAGGGTTTAAGATTTTCCTTAAAAAAGAGGCCTTAAGGACCTGATCTAACCCGAAATAATGTTGATGTTTCATGCAACCTTTTTCTGAAATGGGACCATATTGGTCTTGGATTGTGGAGTGGTGGTCTGTGATGCTCGATGTTTGGACTTGTAATCTGTTATAAACAAATTGGTTACAATAATTTGAATTGTTGGTAGAGTACAATGTATGGTATTTAACAAACGCATATGAAGGGAATCCATCGCTTGGAAGTTGTATTATTACGCTTTGTGAAGATCGACAAGTGGTTGTCTAAAGGATATCATGGACACATGTTTGAATCTAAAAAGTGAAAACGGCCTAAAATTTAGCTAAGGCAAAAACTGTGTTCAGGGTACCAACTTTGGAGGCCTATTCGTTATGTTTGGGACACATCCGAGAGAAGATGGGAGTTGGAGATGAAATTAAGAAATTTTTTAAACCACGTGAAGGCATTGGATGAGTTCGAATGAAGCTAGAAGGCCATTTCCCAGAAGCTCAAAGTTCGTATGGAGCCTGGTTTTCTGGGCAGATTTACTTGTGTTTGAAGTTAGTTGCTTAGAGTCCAAGTTTCCTTGTTTGGGAAGAATTCTTTTACCTTTTCTGTTTGATTTCATGTCCTTGTTAATTAGCTTTTTTTGTAAAATGCATCATTGATCAATGAAAAATTTACCCCTTTGTTCTTGAGTGTTTACTCTTGGATTGTGGTTTGTGAATAGTGTGGATTCCAATTACAGAATGTGCTTCGTATCAATCAAGAATCGCACTTGATTGTGGCCGAGCTTCCACTTGATATTGTTCAAGCCTTTCCCCGGGTTTGGAATTGCAAGACAATACGCTTCCACAAACCCAATTATCCTGTTTTGTTCGTGTTCGAGTTGACTTAAGTTTGATCAAGCAAACTCGTGATCTTGCTACGTACTTTGATCATTATAGGTCATCGTGCTTATATCACTTCTATTATACGTACACCCGATCGATTTGAAAATTGTGGTAATGTTCTCAGCTTGTGAAAACTTTGTGTTGATCTTAAATGTGTTTTACAAAAACATACTATTGATATCAACCTACAATGGTTTTCATTATATGTCGTTCTTTTTTTCTAAAAGTTTGTTATATGACTACGATACGATTACATCTGGTAAGAATGAAAGCATTTGCAATAAATCGTGAAGGGCTTAACAAGTTGCAAATATCATTAAGTAGAGCATGCATTACAACTGTTGTTCACAAAGAAACCACCACTAACTCCCTTACTTCACATGAATGCCATTGAAATTAACTCGATCATAACCCAACACTTCCGACTCAATCAAACTACAGACAGATAACCACGATCCATATTACATGACAACAAGTACTTAAAAGTCCAATATAAGCCAAACTTAAAGAGTCAAATCATGCCCAATGTCTTCACATCTCATAAAACAAAAAAAAGGAAGATAACCATCATTACAGCAAATGAGAACAGGAGATGCTGATGGATGCTGTCAACAACACGAACTCCACCCGATCTGAAGCTTGTAGAGTTATAGGTAGCACATTGTAGATCACGGTACATCCATGGGATCACCTTGCTCGCGATGAGCTTGTAGGATCAATCCGTGAAATGCAAGTTGTCCCACCATATGTAGTGGTACGGGTCTTTGCAGAAGGGGGTACCGGTGTCACCACAAACTCGGTGCTCCTCAGTTCCACAACATCTTGCGTAGCTTATGTGCAACCCTACGTCAATCACAAACCATAAATTTTATTCAATCTTAGCAAAGGCTCACACAAATCTCGTTAAAATACCAACTAAAAACATTGATTGGTGAAAAGAAAAAGGAGTAAGGCACGTACCAAGGGATCGGAAGTTGTCAAACATCCACCGGATTCCGTCCCACATGTTGCCATAAGCAAGATGGACTTGAGGGTACTCCTTTCCAAGTTCAAGAACCAGCTTCTGCACATGCTTGTTGTGCATGTCAAGGTACGAGTTCCATTCCTTGTTTGAGGGCGGCAATCACGTAGGGGATGAGGGTCATCCTCTCCTGGGGTGTATTCTTAAAGCCGCCGTAATCGTTCCCTCCGCCTCCTAGAACGAACAGCGCCGATTCGAAGTTGGCCTTGCGGGCTGCATAATCAAGAGACACAAATTAGTCATCAAAAAGGGTAGTCTGCTCTAATCGAATGAGAATTATCTCGTAACTAATTAAATACCATCACCTGATTCGTTGGGGAATGCTTCCCTTGAGAAATTGACGAACCACTGGAGCTGCACGTCCAGGGAGCTTTGAGAGTACTTCAAGTGGCTACCAAACTTGTCGCGCTGAGCCTTGGGCAGGACGCTGACTCCGGCCACGGCGAAGTTAACACCTTTGGAGTGGTCCATGTCCTTTCTCAGGTACGGGTTACAGTTTGGTAACCCGGCCGACTCAGCTTGTTAAGAAAATTGAAACAAATAACGAGTTAGAACAAGTAGGGTACGTACGTAAAGAAAGAAGGAAGGAACCCTAACCCTAATGGATGGAAACAGAAAACAAAAAGCCAGAGGAGGTAGACGAAGACAAGAAGCAAACAAAGATGAAAAAAATAAAAAAAACAGGGAGATCGATTGGGGGCGGGCTACTGAACTGATTGAGAGAGTTTGAGAGAGTTGGAAGTGATTGGTGTGAGAGAGAGAAGGAGGGAGCTAGGAGTTGGGTTTTATAAGGGCATTTCCCCCATAACATTAATATCAATGCTTCTCTCTCATTCTTCTCTTCTGCTGACGTGTCATTATACAGCTAGCGAGATACAATCGTGACGTTAATTTACGCATATGCCAAGTTGTTGTTATTGTTTGTAACAATCAAGCCAATCCGTGTTCAGCACGTGTCATGCATATGCATGCGTGGCAAGTTGGGATTGGATGCTGAAAACAGGTAGAACGTACACTTATCAACTTAGTCGAACCCTAGTCTGACCCAGATTTGCTTACGTGTTAGATGGAGGGGAACATTAACTAAAGCCACCTACTCAACCTAACCATGGTGAGAATGAATCCCAATTCGCCATAATTGCGGTTCAATTTGTTCAATCTGGATCGTGGGAAAAAGGATAAGAGACGACAGAGAACATAATCACCTTTATAAAAAAACAAATTCATGGAAAGAGGTGTAGAGTATAGACATAACCATGGTGATCTGCTTGCTACTATTGGTCTATGATTGGGACAAATGCATTCGTGTGGGGAAGTGGAGAGCAAATTTAAGGCGCAACGGTACAAAGCCAACTACACAAAGTGAACTTGTTGTGAAATAATCCATCTCCTAAATTCTCCCAATCCCATTTAGAAGGCAGAAAGAATGAAATAACCCATTGTTTCATGACAGGAATTAGGTAAATGTCCCATTGAAACGAAAGCGTACTCCTCTTGTCCTAATTTGCTAGTTGGCTTCTCTATTGCTTTGGGTATAACGTTACATCTGTTTGTGTGCAAGTAGAGAAATGAACGGTATATAGAAGCAGTGCATAGCTTTGGGTTAACCATTAATTCAAACTAAATGTATAAAAGAAAAAGTAGTGCATGATTGAAGTCCAATATAGATACGTTTATTGCAGACAGAGCATGTCGGATTTTCATTGTTTTAATTTTTGATTACCATAGAAACACGTTTAAGTGTTGTTGTACGTGTTCTACCTTCTAAGCTAAGTTGTACACAAGTGCGTGTTGGGGTTAGGTCATGGTTTGGTCTAATTTGAGATCGAACCGAGTAGGATATGTTAGAACGTATGAGAAACGCATGATAATTTTCGAGGATCAAGATCTCGCGTTTGATTCGAATCAGTTCAGCCTAATTATGATTTAGATGTTTTCATATATATATATATATATATATATATATATATATATATATTTAAAGAAGTAGTGAAATCGAAACAAATCGAGCTATGTGTTCGGTTAACAATGTTAATATAAATCTAAAATCAATTGAAATGAATGCGGTCACGGAATCTCATCACGTTATTGTTAATATTGTTTTCATGTATTTTTCTCTTTCAAATTTCTCGTAACTTGTCATGTCACACTATTCCTCCTGTTATTGTCCTACTCTAGTATTAGTCTCCACGTACATTAAGGCTAAAGGGGTCTAATAATTAAAGTAACTAAACACGCGATTAAATTGACAACTTCCTTAAATTCTCAGAACTACCAACTAATCGTATTTCTATTATTTACTTTCACGTTGTTATAATTGTACCTATGTGTTTACAACATTTTTACACAAACCCACTACAACAACAAAACTATACTAAACGGGCCTTGATGATTAATTTATGCATGCCAAGTTTGTATTATTGGCAACAAGGCCAGTTCATGTGTAGCCTTTCGTCCTGCATGCATGCGTGGCAAGTTAGGATTGGATGCTCGATCGAATATCCCCCGTTATCTATAGCCAGCAGGCCATGTCGAACGTACACACTTGTCAACTTTAGTCGAATCCTAGTCTGACCCAAATTTGCTTACGTGGTAGATGAAGGGGAAACATTAACTAAAGCCACCCACCCAACCGAACCATGGTTAGAATGAATGAATGCATATATGGTGGGAATTCATTATACAGAAGTTTTCATGCAAAGAGACAGAAGAAGAGTATAGGCACAGCCATGGCGATCTACAATTGCTACTATTGGCCTACGATTGGGACAATGCATATCGTCTGGGGAAGTGGCATGATTGAAGTTCCATAGATACATATATTGCAGAGCATTTGGGGTTTTCATTTGTTTTGAATTTACATCCCTCTTGATGTAAATTTAGAGCAAAGCTGGTGGTTGAGAGTGGATTAGTTAGTTACTTGCATGTTTTTGGAGTTCTTCATTCATTTGCGCTTTCCTTCCTGTTGCACATTTATATATCACTGACAAAAGACTTTATTAGGGACGATTAGCTCCAAAGTGTACAGTCCTTTTTTATAGCTTTGAGATGATCATTATATATATATTAGTACAACCTCAATATTTATGCATGGCATTAGTCAAAAAGACGGGTACCGAACTCAAACCATTTGATTATTCAAATGTGGTAAGGTTGATTTGAAAGTTGATTGTTTATCGATCGACCGATCTTGTTACCATCATCTACGATCGAAGTTGAGGTTCGGGATCACGTTTGATTCGATTTGGTCCAGTCTAATTATGATTCGAGTTTCTTTCTTTCTTTATTTTCTAGAGTTTTGAAATCGAAATAAGAGGAATTTTAAAATGCTATATAGCATTGGTGCTATAGGTTTTTACCTTTATGGTACAACTTGAAATTGTACATTTAATGTTATGGTACAACTTCAGATTGTACCTATACTTTTTGTACAAATTCTTTTATGGTACAATTTAAACTTGTACCTTATGTGATGGTACAACTTCAAGTTGTAAAGTTGTACCATCCTAACAAAATAATATGAAGATTCCTGCCCGCAGCGCCTGCAATTCCTGTTTTCCTGCGCTCTGCGCAGTTCACGGGAGGCCACTTTGGTAAATGGCTCCGTTCCATTGAGATGGGCCACATAGAATGGCTTCGTTCCATTGCAAACTTAAAATGGCTTCGTTCCATTGAAATGGGCCGCGTAGAAATCAAAGCCCAATTCAAAACTTAAACGTCGCTGCTCCCGAAATTCCCTAACGAACTCGATCTGCTCCCGAAATTCCCTAACCTCGACGCGAAATCCCCTATCGTCGCCTGCCCAAACAGCCTCGCCGCGACGCCATAGCCTCGCCGGTGAATTACAGCTCCTAACGTCAAACTCTCCCCCAAACAAACCACAACTTCCAGCTTCCAGCCGCCGAACTCGATCTGCAAACAACCGATTCGTCTCAAATTCAGCTGCTCAAACATTGCACGACCATATCACTTCAATTACAGCTCCTAACGTCGATCTGCAAACAACCGATTCATCTCAAATTCAGCTGCTCAAACATGCCGGAAGGATAAATCTGATCTCCTCCCACGATTCAGCTCCGCTGCTCTTCTTCCAATTACTGCCTCCTGAAACCCTAATTCCTCCATCGTCATGAGTGCTCCCGCCGGGTAAGTACTTCCTTCCGGAGAAAGCACTGTTAGATCTTGATGTTTTCCAGGGGGGAGAATTCCTCCGCATCCAGCTTCTGGCTGTTCTCTTAGCTTCAGATCTTGATTATCTCTACTCTATTTGAGCCAGATCCTGACCGACGAAGAATTTGCTTAGCAAGGTTGCTAGGTAAGCCAATAGCCATAGCTTTTTACTCAAACAAATTGATATTGGAGAAATGAAGAGAGTGATTAGGATGAGAAATTGGGAACTCGATTTGTGTATAGAGGGTTCTTGCTTCTCCTCCACAAATTGAAGCCAAGGCCTAAAAGCCAGTTGAGACATAATTCACGAGGCTTCACATGGACCTGTCTTCCAATGGGAACAAATTGTAGGGCCTGCACATGCCCTACAATGTAAGGGCTAGGCCTATGGATGATCACACATTCATTGAAAATTGCGCATCCATATAAGCAAATGAAGTTTGAACCGTAACATGCCCCTGTCTTTAGATGATCATATAGGCAAATTGTTGGAATGCAAGCAGGGTACGTGGCCTACAGGTTGAGGGTAGGCCAGTGGTAGATAACATTGGAAATATGAGTCCCCTATTGTCAATGTTTAAGTTGTTATGGGAAAGCTAGATAGTCCATACAGATACGGGACATGCCTGATACAAAGTTAGTAGCAACTAATGAGGTGTCGTTTCAAAATGCAGGTCCAACAAGGCAGAAGGTAGATGACTAAGACTGGTGGTGGTTGTGGCATCCAAGGCAGCAGAGAGGGAAGGAATAAAGGTAAAACACATGACATGTACACTTTAGTGTCATGTTTATGGTAATTAATATTCATGAAGAGATCAGTTATTTGGGTGGGCATTATCTATGACACATAGAAATGAAAAAGCTGGTGGTTCTGAAATCATAAATACAGAACTTAGTATCCAACATCAGAGATGTAGTTTTTGGAGACGGTGTGTTATCTCAAATTTCTAAAGAAGATAACCATGACATTTGGATTCATGTTGGTTGTGTAATGATACTTGAAGGAAGTGCATCTACTTTGAATCTTATGGCTGTAAGTGGTAACTGTCTAGATTAATCCACGAATCTACAATATGGTCGTTTGTAGGGAATGGCCTCAAATTTGGTGGTGCTCAAACAATGCATAAAAATATTTTGTTGTATAGAGGTTTGTTTTTGGTAATCGATGGAATTAGGGGGAGTATACCCTCCTTAGTCAGCAGATGATTGATCTTCCATTGCCTGCTTCTCCTTCTTTCTCTTCACCCTTGCAGCCCATCTAGATTGATGTTTTACCCTCTGTCTAATTTGGCGGCTGCTGTCCTGAATGGCTCTTACTTGAGCTAATTCCCTTGAGCTAATTCCATTAATCAGGGTCATCACCACTCGAA